AAAGTGTGTCAGATACAAAATTATACAGATAAAGATATTACACAGAGCTTACATTACACCTTGCAATCTGAATAAATTTGACAACACATTATCTAAATCTTGCTGGCATGGCTGTGAGGTGGAGGGTACACTAATGCACTTATTGTGGTACTACCCTCCTGTTAAGAGGTTTTGGTTNNTAACATAGATATAAAACCCTGCCCTAAACGCTAAACGGATCATTTTAATGAACTGGAAACAACGTAAGACAAATTGTTTTAGTATGGAGAACTGGTGCAAGGACTTCATGGAGTTTTTATCGATGGAACAGGCCGCCTCCACTCTAGTAGAGGATAATAGGCAGGATAAATTGTGGACCTTTTTTAAATCTTGTCTCCAGGAAACCTAAGGATCCCCATGCTGTGAAGAACTGATATAGTACTTAATATTTGTCTGCCTGGCTGTTTTTGATATTTGATGATGAGGATGAGAAAACTCTAACTGGTTTGATGTTTTAAATGCTATTTCTTTGTTTCAATTGTCATGTGAATGTAACATAACATACCACTGAAATGATACAGTGTGTCTTTGAAGCTGACACTTAATGCTTTATTTGTGCTGGTTAACTGGGCGTTTTGTGGAACTGATGTAATTATTGGTGTGATATGTTCAACCTCTGAGGATACAGCCTCTATTAATCATGCCCCAAGGGATCATTACTGTCACTCATGTATGGGTGCACACACACACACACACACACACACACACACACACACACGAGGACTCGCCAAATAGCCCACTCTTGTTTTGTCTTGATTTCATGCTCGAATTTTATAATTTGGACTTAAAAGTGCGCTTTATTTAATTAATTTCCACTGTTATAACAAAAGTCAGCTTGATTTAGATTTTTGTAAAGTGTCTAACATTCATAACAAGATTACTGTTGTTGTTTTTCTCCACACAACATATTGTGTATTTGTACCGAGGCGGAACTCCAGTCAGCGGTGGTTTGACACGTCAGCTGTAGGTGCCGGACACATTTAGACGGCGCACACGCGGCACTTCCTGGTTCTTCTGTTGATGTTCACCGATGTAATTAGTTTAAAGTTAAGTGCTTTACTGGTGTTTCTCTCCTTCATTAAGATGCCATTGAATAAAACCTAGCATGGAATCTATTTCCGGTTAATTTGCGCTGTAATCCATCCGGTTTGTTGTGTTCCTGTTAATTTGGCATGCTGTCATCATCTCCAGGTATGCATGAGTTCACCTTCTGCCTGTGTGATCTTCACTCTCTCACCTAATGCTCCTCCGTTGTGTGTCTGTACATTCGCCCTCATGTACCCACAGGATTGATGTCGTTTTATTCATTTAAATGTATGTTGTCCTTTATTTTTCAGCCTAACGTAACACCTGCTCGTTTTAAGGTGACAGCTTAAGTTAACACATTCATAGTTAGCCTCAGTTGCTTTCTGTCAGAGACTGCTGAATCAAACAGTGAGTGTGGCTCTCTAAATCTTTCTGTGTGTCTGGGAGATCTGTGTGTGAGTCCTACCATCAGGCCATCAGACATTTGTATTGTTAAGAGAATAATGGGTCACTCAGCATCACAAATGTACACAGCATTACACAAACCTGTTTATTCAATATTGTATTGTATTATGTCTCATTTGTGAATTGTATCATTATTGTAACTTTATAGATTATGTCCATCTTCAAAAAACAACCTCCCTGGTATTCAGATGATTTAAAACATTCCTGCTTCAGAGACTTGCAGTTAATTAGCAGACAGTTTAGCTGTTTCAATAGTTCTCTCTCATCTTTTTCTTAAGATTTGCTGAGGGCACAGCAGGTTTGATGCCCACTGCTCCAACATGGAGCACTCCGATTTGATCACACATAAGAACGGGCGGCAGAGGAAGCTGGCGGGTGCCACCCTCCTACCGGACCATGTTAGGGACATGGACAGGGGAGAGACGAGCGCCTCTGAACCAGAAGTAGAAGAGGAAGCTGAGGGTCTTATCAGAGGGTCAGACTCTGAGGACAGGAGGCACAGAGTGCGGCCTGGGATCCGGGGGGAGTTGGCGAATGTGTTGCTTCTTCTGTTCCTGTACGTGCTGCAAGGGATTCCCCTGGGACTGGCTGGTAGCATCCCTCTGATCTTACAGAGTAAGAGTGTCAGCTACAAAGACCAGGCGTTCTTCAGCTTCGTCTTCTGGCCATTTAGCCTCAAGCTCCTCTGGGCGCCACTGGTGGATGCTCTCTACTTCAGCAGGTTTGGTAGAAGGTAAGACGGATACTTGTGTGCGGTTTGTCATCATGTGGATGATTTCCTCTATGTGGATTGTTTTTTTTTGTTGCTGTTTCCTGATCTATGCCACCCTCCCACCTGATTCTGCAGAAAGTCATGGCTGGTGCCCACACAGTACCTGCTGGGTCTCTTCATGCTGTACCTTTCTATGACGGTCAATTCACTGCTGCAGAGTGAGGGGGGACCGAAAGTTGTGACTCTCACTGCAGTCTTCTTTATGCTCGCCTTCCTGGCAGCTACACAGGTAGAACAATCACTGTGACACAAACACACACTCAGGAAGAGAAACACATTCAAGTTGATAGTTTCTTTCCCGTCCTCCAATGGCTGTACCTTCTCTGCCCTAAAGGACATAGCTGTGGATGGCTGGGCCCTGACTATGTTATCCAGAGAGAATGTGGGCTATGCCTCTACATGCAACTCTGTGGGCCAGACAGCGGGATACTTCCTGGGGAATGTGCTCTTTCTGGCTCTGGAGTCTGCAGACTTCTGCAACAAATACCTCAGAACAGAGCCCAAAGACACGGGCATCGTCACCTTGTCAGGTATCACCCGTCCCTGACCGAACGGATTAACAACATAGCTTCTCAACTGAACAGTAGTTTGGATGAATAAAGTGTATTTTCTAATTCTTCTTCTGCTGCAGACTTCTTGTTCTTTTGGGGAATAGTGTTCCTGGTTTCCACGACGTTGGTAGCCATCATTAAAAGGGAAAATGAGCACGGCAAAGGAAAGAGGAGAGTCCAAGAAAAGACACAAGGCGTCATGGAAACCTACAAGCTGCTGTTCTCTATCATCAAGATGCCCACAGTCTTCACCTTTTGTGTCCTGCTTCTCACTGCTAAAGTACTTGACCATTACTTCATAAATATTTGTTTACCTTTTGAAAAATAACTTTTTTGCTGCTTGAAACATGAATATTAATTGGGCATGAATGTTTTCTGATGTGTCTTCTCTGTGTGTGTTCCAGATGGGCTTCTCTGCAGCAGATGCAGTGACAGGTCTGAAGCTGGTGGAGGCTGGAGTTCCCAAGGAGCAGCTGGCTTTGCTGGCAGTGCCCATGGTGCCTTTGCAGATCCTACTACCTGTGATCATCAGTAAATACACAGCAGGGCCCAGACCTCTAGATGTCTTCTACAGGGCCTTCCCTTTTAGGTTGTAACACACATACACACAAACCTGTGCTTAAACGCATTCAATAAACTAAAAGCTAACGGTTGCTGTGTTGTTGCAGGTTGCTCATAGGACTGGAGTACGCTCTGCTGGTGTGGTGGACCCCCAGTGCAAGGGAAGAAGGAGGGTTCCCTGTTTACTACTACGGCATAGTGTTGCTTAGCTACGCAGTGCATCAGGTTAGGTATTTCTGTTACTCTCTTAAATATCTTTTCTCCTCTTTTCTTCTTCGAGCCTAGCCAGTATCATAGATTTTCCAGGTGACAGGATCTC